ACACAAAAAAAAAAAAAAAAAAAAAAAAGGCGAGATGGACCAGCTTATGACCTGGTGGTTAAGGCATCTGGATCCCACAGGGCCAACTGTGTGATTCGAATCCCAGACTTGATGGCTTGAAAAACATGCTAGGCTCATGTGCATGCATGCCCAAAATCCTGACAGGAGAGAGAGATGGAGGAGAAGGGGTTTCAGCATGATAATGCCGGTGGCAGGAGAAGGAATCTGCTTTGTCCCCACCTCTCTCTTTGTCTCTCTTCAGCAAGCACACACAACCTCTTAGAAAATTTTTAAAGAAATTTTATATATGTAGTCACTGTGAATCACTACAGCAGACCAAATGAATTGCCCCATCGTGAATACACTGCATATTGGTCCAGTCCAAGACATTACCGTAAACATATGAACAACATTTCTTTCCATTTGGGGTTCCTTAAATGTTCTGCCTTTTCCTTCTTCCCCTTGATTCTCTCCCTCTCACCCTCTCCCGTCTCCTGCCCTCCTCCCTCTCTGTCTCCATCATTGTTCTCCATGCTTTTATGCCTTCCAGTCACTCTGTTTCTGCCACAGAATTCCAATAGTCGGTATATATTGAGTAGGGACATGCTCAACATCGTACCATAAGGGAGATGCAAATCAAAACTACAACAAGATACTACCCAACCCTGGTCAGAATGGTTAAGATTGAAAAAATAAAGAATGATAAGTGCTGGCGAGGCTGGGGTGCGAAGGGAGCTCTCCTACACTGTTGGTAGGAATGTGAGTACAGCCCCTGTGGAGAGTAATATGGAGGTTCCTCAAAGACCTCATAAATTTTTAAAAAGATAGAAGCAAGATCCCGCATGGTGACTATGGTTCAAATCCCTGACCTGGTCAGCCTGAAACACACTGGTTACCTACATGAGTGCCCGAGAAGTCACAGGCTGGAGGACTAAGGAAAGGTGAGCATAACATGACCAGATACTATGGAGGGTACTCCTCTCTCTCTCTCTCTCCCCAGCTCACTTTCACATGTGTACACATGTCCTTTCCTTTATAATGATATAATACACATATAGCTATATCATTTGTAAATGTATTAATTCTAAAAGGATATAATTTTATAGATAGATATTTATATATAGTCTTGAAAAATAGCATTAGTGGGACAAAGAAATGGGGTACTATCTGTTGAAGATAACTTTATAGTTATCTGCTGGACTGGGGAGAAATTCACACATTGGAATATTCACTTTGCAAGCTAAGTAATGTGATTGAATGTATAAAAAAATACCTATTTGATGACTGCAGTAAGCTATGTAGCCCCAGCCAGGTGCTACTTTATAGTCTGTTCATTTTACTCACTGAGGCTTATGCCTAAAGTCAGACTTGTATTCATGGATATGTATATATCAACTGTGCTTGCTATTGAAAGTATTTAGATTAATTAAGATCTTTAGCAAATCAATAAAATGTGGGGGGGAAAGGCATAGAAAGCAACCATGAATACCAGAGACAGTGTGAGAAGAGTGTGGGAGATGGCAGAGGGTGAGAGATAGGGAATCAAGGATGGAAAAAAAAAAAGCAAAATATACAGAAAACAAGAAATGGAAAATTATTTGTTGACAATAGCACATATGTTGATGTGCTTGATTAAGCCAATTTACAGTGTATTCTGGATGGAAAAATTTCATTGTGTATGCTATAATGACGTACAGTGAATGAATGTAAATAAATAAATTTAAATTTAAAAAAAGGCAAAGCAAAAAAAAGAACTTGAAATTAAATAAACAAATAAAGGAAAGGTGTGTTATGAAAAAACTATGCATGAATTTCAATTTTTTTGCACCAAAACAAACTTATATTTTAATTCCATTTTTCTAGGAACTTTTTGAAGTCCCCTCATATATATGTACATGTGTACCACACACACACACACACACACACACACACACACACATTATCTTGTGGTAATGTACAAGAAGAGAGAATACATGGCCTAGGGGGACAGGGGAATGCTCTAAGTAGTGGCACTGGAGTGGTCCATGAAGGATAGGTAGAGAGCGAGTCAAGGAAGGAGCTGCCAAACAGGTAGAACCTCATGAGCCAGGGAATGGAAGTCTGAAAATGCATAATCGTCCATAAAGAATGGAGCAGAGGGACCAGCAGTTAGCATAATGGCTATGTCACTGGACTCTCACATAGTCCACCGCGGTTAAAACTCACGCGGTGGCTTAAAACTCACGCCGGACATGTGTGCGTGCGTGCCCAAGATCCCGAGAGGAGAATGGAGGAAAACGGATTGCGGCGTGGCCATTCCCCCTGGGGGGTGACTTCTCACTTTCTGTCTCTCTGTCTCACTCTGTCTGTCTGGCGAGTGCATGCGCCCTATAGCAAAAACCTCTCCAAAAAAAAAAGAATGGAGCAGAACATTTCTGAGACAAGATAGGGGCAGGCAGGCGAGCAGGAGAATAGGTGAGTTGGAGAGTAGACAACAGGTCCTGCGCGGCATGTAAAAAGAGCATTTGATCGTTCAGGTCAGCAGTTCTCACACTCTTGATATGGATAAGAATCTGGTTTCTGCATCCTGGGGCTTGCTGGGAGTTAAAGAGGGAGCAAGTCAATAAGGGAGAGACGTGACTAGGACCTCCAGGAGCTGCGTTGTAGATTTCAATCTGCAATATCATTCTCACCTATCATCCCCAGGCCTTCAGTAAAGTACTGTTCAAAGTGACTGCTTGATCTCAGTCAATTCTTAGAGCATTGGAGGAAGAACCCAGTTCCAGGCTTGTTCTGAACAGGGTCAGAGTCAGGAGAGCTGCTGAAGCATGGATAAGCTGGTCAAGACTGGCCAGGAAGATGCAGACGACCCTGGAGTTCATCTGGATCAATGAGATAGTAGCAGAATAGGAAGGCAGATTTATGGAACACGGAGAGGTTTTTCCGAGATTTTCAGACATATTAAGGAAGGCAATCTCGTAAAATAAGAAACTTCCTTCAGTTAAACAAGATAGAGGCTAGGCCAGCAGATGGCCTGGTGGCTAAGGCAGCTGCATCATAGGTGGCTGACAGCAGGGTTCAAGTCTTGGACCCAGTGGCTTCAAAAAATACACCAGGTTATGTGTGTGTGACCAAAATGCTAAGAAGTGGGAGAAATGGAGGAGAAGAGATTGCAGCAAGACCATGCCTCATGGGAGGGTGGTTTCTTGCTTTCTCTTTTCTTCTTCTTTCTGTTTCTCTCTGGCAAGTGTACACAACTGGCAAACTTTCAGAAGTAATATAAAACAAGATAGAAGCTTGGATTCTTTCTGTGTAGACCCTAAAAAACACTTTAGCATAGAGCCACCAAAGGATAGAGCCTGGGAACATTTATTCTTTAACAAGTTCTCAAATAAATAAACCAGTGCTAAGCTAAGCCTCTTTGTCCAGAAAAGCCTATCGCTGAGGAAACCCACACTCACCTGCCAAATGCCCTCTGTTGGTATTGCCTCCATCCTGGGGACACATAGTCTGGCTTAAGGTTCCCATCCAGTCTCAGTGTCCACTTGGCTGAGGGTTTCTCCTGTTGTATTAGTTTTTGAAAAGTCTTTTCCCATGTCCTGATATCCAACGTCATCCTCTTCCACTGAAGCTGAGAGTCAGTGTGTGGTGAGAACTTTACGCTTTATTGATTTGCAGCAGGAGGAAAATAGTTTCAGTTCCTGTGTGTTGCGTCAGTTCCTGGTGATAAGCTTTCATTTTAGACTGTTTGGGTACATAGAACACATTCTTGTTCTGAAGAAAGAGGTCAGCAGATCTGTGTTAGTGGGTTTACCGAGAGAATGCCCAAGTACAGAAGAACTCTGTCCTAGATTCTGGGGACACATGTAAGTTAGCTTTTATTTCACTTTTCTTTCATTTTTATAATATTCAAAGCGCTATATTTAGCACTGGGACAAAGGAGTACTTTGTGGCTAGACAACAGTTTCTACCCCCACAGATGCCCACCGCCTTGTAAAGACACAAAAGGCGGGTAGGAGTGGGACACGTGTTCCAAACACACTTCATTGAGCTAATGACTCCTCACCGCAGTCCTCAGAGGGAGGCTTATTCCTGGTATTTTGCAGGTGAGCCTCACAGAGAGTTAGGGCATCCTGCCCAAAGCCACCCAGGTAGTAAGTAGTAGAACCTAGGTCATGTGGCCCCGAAGCCACACATCTCCACTCACCGCGGTCCCTAAAAAAAAGGACAAGAATGGAGTTCCAGATTCCAGCCTTGCACCTTGGTGCCAGTGTCAGAGGTGCCATCTTGAAACCCCGACCTATTTTGTTGTTTTTGCTGTGCAGCATGGTTTCTTGAAGTTTCTATAAACCGTTTCTTAAACATAGTGGGGATATCACATATTGTTTTTAATTTATTATACATTTAACCACTATACATCACTACAGTTTGTAAAATGAATTTACCCACCGTGAATACACGTCACCCCACTCCAGGTGAAGATACCTATACAGGTTATCATCAACTGATAATCACCCATTTCTGTGTCCCATAAACGTCTCGCCTCTCTATTTTCTCCTTGATTCCCTTCCTCTCACTCTCCCCCTTCTCCCACCATCTTCTCACACTGTCTCCAGTATCCAACCCTTTAGATACTTCTGGTAGAAAGAATTTCGGGGACCAGCAGTTAGCGCAATGGCTATGTCACTGGACTCCCATGTAGCAGACCGCGGTTCGAGTCCCAGACCCAGTGACTTAAACTCATGCCAGGTGCGTGTGTTTGTGTGCCCAAGATCCCTGAGAGGAGAATGGAGGAGAAGGAATGGCCATCCCCTCTGAGGGATGATTTCTTGCTTTCTGTCTCTCTTTCTGGTGAGTGCACGTGCCCTATAGCAAAAACCTCTCCAAAAAAAGAAACCTTCTAGAAAGAATTTTTATAAGCTTAAAAAGAGGGGACAAGCAGGTGGCGTTAAGGTGCTGGACACCTTAACATGGCCAACCATGGTTCAAGTCTTGGACCTGGAGGCTTGCTTTCTTACTTTCTCTCTGTGTCTCTCTGGTAAAATTAAGATATATGAATGAATAAATACATTTTTTTTTAAAAAGCACCTGAGCTCTGGAGTGGGGATGTGGCCAGTCCAGAACTACCAGGCCAGTCAACCTAAAAGACAGGAGAAACATATTTTATATTTTTTTCTTTATTTCCCATAAGTAGAAAAGGCAGTTTCCAGTCCAACTTGTAAGGAGCTTGTAAGCCTGCACGCCTGTCCTCACAAGAGAAAAAGCTGAATATACTGAAAATCAACAATTCTTCTTAGTCTCCTCAAAGAATGGCGGTCACAGGGCAAATTGTTCCCCTGAAAAGTGGAGAGAGAGGTAGACACAGAGAACCGTGCTTAGCAGAGCCCAAACCCAGGACAGAGGTCCTTAGCTAGCACGGGTGCTGTGCTGGAGCACTCAGCACTGTAACTGCGAACTGCTGGAGGCCCCTGAGGGCAAAGGAGAATGCCAACTTCAGGAGCTCCAGCAGGCCCAGGTGCTGCAGGGGCGGGCCAGGAGTGGGGCCAGAGTGCGGTTCGGGGGAGCTTGGTTCAGGGGAGCTCTGTACTTTCTTGAATTCTATCCCCAGAAGCCCTGCCACCCTGAATTCTCACTGTGAAGACGAGGGAAATGTGCTTTCAAAAGGGAGAGGAAAAAACTAACCATTTAAAAAACACACACGGAACTCTCTGTTCTCATTCACAGTCTCTGCTTAAGAGAAACTATGTCACCAGGGCATTAAAGACTCCCATTTTACCAAAGCCTACCTGATCCTGAGAAGGAAAATACCCAATGGTCAGCCCCTTTAGCCTTCAACGCGTCAGATGTGAAACACCCTACTTCTTCCGCAGTGTGGCTTCCTTTCTCATGGCAGTGTGGACAAAGCCACCAAGCTGAGGGGACAGAAGAGGAGAGCCTGGTCTACGCTCAAGCAAGCAGAACTATCTGTGTGCTTTTCTTTGGGAGAGAAGTCAGGGCCCACACAGTTCAGACTAGTTCTCTGTTCAGCTCATTCTATCTGGTGGAAAAATAAAAAAAATCTATAAACAGACCACTAGGATCATTAAACCACCAAGCCATGGGAGAGGTTTCAAAGGTCCTCTAAGTTTCATTCTTTACTTTCTAGCTTTGTATTGCCTAATATTTGAATTGAGTAAAAACTCAGATTCTATTTCCAAACTAACGCAGGAAAAAGAGCAATGGACTTAAAATTAGAAAACAGAGGTATAAATTTCACCTCCAACATTTACCAACCTCTTTAAACCCTAATGTCCCTGTCTATAAAGCGGAAATAATAATATGCATTCCATTAGATTCATTGATAGATATTAATATATAATATGATATAGTTGGGGACCATAATGGAAAATATCAGATAGCTATTTCAAAAGTAAAAGAATATAGGAAACCAGCAGTTAGCGTAATGGCTATGTCACTGGACTCCCACATAGTCGACCGCGGTTCGCATCCCAGACCCGGTGGCTTAAAACTCATGCTGGGCACGTGCGCGTGCGTGCCCAGGATCCCGAGAGAAGAATGGAGGAGAAGGGATTGCGGCGTGACCATCCCCTCTGGGGGGGTGATTTCTCGCTTTCTGTCTCTATGTGTCTATCTGATGAGTGCACGTGCCCTATAGCAAAAACCTCTCAAAAAAAAAAAAAGTAAAAGAATATAAAGAGACTTAAAATAGTAGCATTTAGAAGGAATAGAACATCTGAACCCAACCTTTAAAGAAAAAGGAAGAGATAAGGGTCCACATATAGAAAGGAGAGAAATATGTAGGGCAAGAGCCTAGGAAGTGTCTGTGACTGTGTGTTGGGGAGAAGAACAGCAAAAGGTCAAATGAACAACTAGGATCCAACAGCGGCACAGTGGTAGGATGTGACACTCTGAGGGAAGACTCATTGTTCTGGTCTAGAGACCAACCAGAGTATGCCAGGCACACAGAATCCAGGGCTGGCCAAAGGTTGAAGATGAACCGTGGTATCAGGGGTGCTGTCTCTCTCTCTTTCTCTCTCTCTCTCTCTCTTTTCTCTCTCTCTCCCTCTTAGAAGAAATAAATAAATAAACTTTAAAAAATGAATAGCTGGGACCAGCAGATGGTGTAATGGTTACATTGCTGGACTACCACCTAGTCGACTGTGGTTCGAGTCCTGAACCCGGCAGCTTAAAAATTTATGCCAGGCATGTGTGTGTTCATGCCCAAAATCCTGAGAAGAGATTGAAGGAGAAGGGATTATGATATGGCCATTCCCCCTGAGGGTGATTTCTTGTTTTCTGTCTCTCTGTCTGTCTGTCTCTCTCTCTCTCTCTCTGTCTCCCTTGTGGTCATACGTATCCTATAGTGAAAATCTCTCTAAATAAATAAAAAAGAATAGCTAAAATTTGGAGTACTCTCTTAGAATGCACCTTTACCCTCCTATCTATGTGGTCCCTATAATAACCCAATGGTTAATGGTTTCTTATCAAGAAATATTTCCATTTGATAGAAAATGGTCAGATATGGAGGATCTATTGCTGAGTGAAGTAAGCCAGGCTATGAAAGAAAGATATTGTATGTATCCACTCAATATATACCAACTATCCGCACTCTATGATAGAGAGCAAAAAATTGGAGGACATAAAAGCAGTGAAGGTACTTAATGAGAATAGGACAGTGTGGAATGGGGGAGGTGAAGAGAAGAGGATAGAGAAAGATAGCAAGTGAACAATAGAGAGGCAGGACATTAGTGAGAAACAGATATGGCTTATTAACTGTTGATGATGACATGTATAGTATTCTCAACTGGATTGGTCTGAGAAGTATTTTATGATGGTCAAAATATTTTTACAAGCAAAGTGAGAAATAGCGATTGAGTGTTTTAAACAATAATTAGAATAATAATAATAATGATTGGGGAAAACATAGAAAAGATATTGAATGTTGAAGTGGGGAGATTAATGTCTCTGTACTGACTGACATGCATGGCATTCCCTTTTGAAAAAACAATGTAATACACTGTAAAGTTATATGTAATCCAGTGTAATATAAAGAAGATTATGATGATAATAAAAAATTTAAAAAATTATAAAAAAGAAATATTTCCAAATGGACGCATCTAATGGAGCTTTATAAAATGCAGATGTTCAGATCCATCTCTGTAAATTACAAATCCACAGCTCTGGGGTGGATCTTTATATTTTAAAAAAGCTCTGAGAATGATCCTGAAATACACCATAAATAGAAAAATCAGAAGCGAGGAAATTTTGAGTGACTTGCCAAGGTCCAACATTATGAGTGGCAGAAGCAAGATGTAACGCAAGGTGCTTTCACTCCCACTTGCATGCTTTCTCCCACAGGGAAATTCTGGAAGGCAAAGTCAACCTTCATTAGTCTCGTCATTATCGCTGAGTTGACCTGGCACCAGAAAGCAGCTTGCTCTCTGATGGATGGAGTCCAGGAGACAGCCACAGTCATAATGTACGAATTTAATTAACAACAGCGCACACTGAAAGTGAGCAGGAGAGCTATGAGAAATGGAGACAGATCATTCGGGGCCGTAGCAGTGCAAAGCTAAAGAGACACCATACAACCTGCACACAGCAACACCAATATGCTATCGCTTGACTTTCTACCTCTGCCTTCTCACTCTGGGAATGAAAATGCAGCCTGGGTTCAAGTGAGACCCCTGCAGCCCTTTCTGATGTCAATGAGAGTGTTAAACCTGTGTCAAGAATGGGCAAGGCCCCAGGTAATGGCCTCCATGTGAATGTCC